CTCGTGCTCAAGCATTATTAAAGACCGATCCTTGTAATTTTGAGTATATATTGTGGGCAGTATTTGATGGAAGGGAACGAGTTGTGAAGATGAAAATCAAATCTAATGACGATATCTTAGAGCTGATTGAAGAACAAAGAAATTCCAACATTTACGTGGAGTTAAAGAAGAGAGTAAATGTAGGGATTCCGGGGACGGCGCAACAAAGGTTGACGCAAATGATGGCGTCCCAATGTGTATTTCATAGTTATTTTGGTGTTGGTAGTTCTGCATTTTCCACAGAGGCCCCATATTCACATCAAGCAGACCCTAGTTCATCTACACATATTGGATATCCTCAGGGCGATGATGACCAAACCGCGGATTGTTCGAATCAACCAGGTCATTCTCGTGACGATGACAATAATGATGACCAAACCAAACGCACAATGATGATTCAGGCGACAAAGAAAAAGAAGTCAATGATAAGCAAATGTTCAAGCTTTTCAGGGCGTGGTATTGCCAGCATATTTAAGAGCTAAGATTCATTACCGACCATCTTGAGGTTGAAAGTCTTGTATATATGAATCCAGGTAGCACACTACAATCCGACGTTGAGCCACGATTGTGGTCCCTTCCTATGCTGCCCCCACGACAACTGGATCAGATATACAACCTATCCAATTACCCTAAAAAATTAGAATTATTTGTGGGGTCTGTCTTTCTTTAAAAAAATGAGTTGATTTGTGCCATCGAACTGTATAACTTGAAACAAAAAGTTGAATGTCGAAAACCCAAATCCTGCACTTCTAGGTTACTATCTATTGGTCCGTATGAAGGGTGTTCTTACAAGTTATGCGCAAGGACAAATCAAAATGTATGGAGAATCACTACTTTGAAACTCGAGCATACATGCGAAGGGAGATTGACGCACAATCTACACAGTTCGGCTAATTCCACGGTTCTCGCTCATATTTACGCACCAACTATTCAGAAAAATCCCCAGACGGTATCTACACGGAGAATTATTGATCAAATGCGCGAGGAGCACGGTTTGTCGATGAGCTACAATGTGTCCCTCTGAGCAAGACACCGTGCTTTTGAAAAGGTTTATGGGGGTCATGAAGAATCATGAGGGCGGCTACCCGGTTA